AGATCGCTTATTGAAAATTCTTACAACTATAAAGGCAATCCATATTATGGTTCCTAGTCTTTGGCCTTTCTATGCTCAACAAACCAAAGAGGCTGTTAAAATAACAAAAAATTAGATCTTATAGAATCTCATAGATCATTGTGCATGAAGAACCTTGTTGATCCTCTTGAACATAGAAAAGTCAGTCAAAATAGTTGAGGCAAAGTATTTCAAAATAATGAAAATATTTCATTTGAACAACTTTTGTCAATTGTGATATGATTTTGCAAGCCCTGATCATAAATCCTTTATTTATAAGCAGAGAACAAGGTCAATGCTACAAACGTGGAAACTTTAATTGCATGCTCTAACTAATAACAAAATTATTTAATATTCCCATATGGAGTAGCCACCTCCAAATAATCTTCATCTCAACAATTTCATATGGCTTTTCTCTCCATGACTGCAGCTGCTGATCTATAATAAACACTCGATCATCCCAACTCTAAAATGCTTACTGTGATATCCACATAACAAAAGAAACTTTGTGTTCTATTTCCTTTTTCTTTTACAAAGAATACAAATCATTAGAACTTGTACATTCTAATGTCTGCAGACCTTCACCAATTCCTTTTGTATAAGATTTTCAATATTATGTGCCATGCATAGATGATTTTTCTTACTTATGTGAGGTATATCCTATGATACATAAATTTGGCACAACAAATAAATTCATCCAATTTGAAGCTATCGTTGAAAAAATAAGTTAATACTCTAATAAAAATTGTTCATTCTAATAATTGCGAAGAATATGTCAACTCTCTAAAATTTTATTGTTGCTCAAGGTACTCTTCATCTTCATCAACTAAGTTATCCTTACACACTAGAGCAAAATGGTGTAAGATAAATGAAAGCATCGTCACCTCATTCACACTACCCAAGCTCTTCTACTTACTCGACCCCCTACACTCTCCAGGATGCCACATTTCTCGCTACCACCTAACTAATAAATTGTCCACCATCCTCAAAAAGAAAACTCAAGTCACCTTATCAACTTTTCTACAATAATAACCGACATACACTCACCTTTAAATATTTGGGTGTTTGCTTTCCTTGACTACACTTTCAATCTTTTCACAAACTTTCTCCTAGTTCCATTTGTCAAGTTTTTGGGCTACTCATATTCTCATAAGGTGCATAAATGTTGCAACCTCAATACCAACAAACATGTTGAGTTTGATGAAAATTCTTACCCATATCATTTTTCAGACTTTAGCCTATACAACCACTCAAATAATGTTTGCTACCAACATCACATTAACTCTGACCAACAACTTAAACTCCTCAATATTCCAAGTCTTTCACACCTCAACACAATATCTGAAGACTCCCATCTAAACAAAATTCTCAATATTCCAAGCCTATCACACATCCATCCCATTATGAACCGATACATGCGTCTCCTGGTCTCAAAAATCAATACTCCGCACCCTTCAGAAATAACAACTACCACCATTCCTCTTGAGCCTCAACCTTCAACAAGATGCTAGACGAAATAATTCTTCAGTGTCAATATCCACCCCATGTGCATAAGACTCACTTCAACCCAAATAGATTCTAGAATGTAATCATATAAATGATATTATTTTTTATTTAACTAGCTACATTTAAGAAACCAAAGATCCAAAATGAAGCCAAGCCGTGTATTATGAGTTCAAAATGCTTCAATAATAGGAACATGCATTCTTGTTCCATTTTATCCTACCTACATTTCGTAAGTTATTGTTTGATCTTCAAGACCAAGTTACATTCTGATGACACTATTGCTTGTCATAAATCCAAGTTGGTAGCTCAGGGATTCAATCGAGAAGAAGGTATAGATAACATAGAAATGTTAACTCTAGTTATAAAAATGCCCACAATCTATATAAACCATGGGACTTCACAAGTGCAAGTCCCATGAAATAACCACCGGGGTTTCAAAATCAACAACATCCACATCACATTTTTCTCCAAAAAGATATATATGGTCTTAAAAAAGCTCCCAACATATAGTTTGCAACTTTCATCAATAATGTACACTAACAAAACATTAGAACATTCCAAGCCAATCAATATCTTTTATGTTACAATAATAACAACCCAACTATTCATCTTCTAACCTATGTTGATGTTATTCTTGTAACTAATAGTGGCTCATGCAATTTCAAGGCTTCTTGACAATCTCAACTTCACGTTCAACATGAAATGGCTTGGCTCAACTCAACTTCCTAGGCATCAAAGTTTTCACTGCACAATGGTAAATTGTCCTAAACCAAGAAAAATATGCTTTAGAAATCTTACAAAAATAAGGTATGACCTCTTGTAAACCCCTTCTCAATAATTCTCCCTTAAAGGTTGCTCCAATTAATACATCTGTTACACCACTTCTTAGCCCAATCATTATACAAAAAATAACACGTTGGTTGTTTAACATATTTAACAATTACTCAATCTGACATTTCTTTACTATAAACCAACTATTCCAAAACATGCATCAACCCCTTCAATGTTACTTTAAACTACTCAAACGCTTACTCCACTACATACAAGGTATACTCCACTTCGATCTACCCAAGATAGCAAATCAATTATTAATTATTGTCCATTTCTTGACAACACTCTTATTTCTTGGAGTGCCAAGAAATAAAATACTATCACTCGATCACCAATGAAGTAGATTACTAAGCCTTAGCCACAACCACAACAAATATTATTTGGCTTATTTTTATGTACCATGACTTAAACCAGCTTCGCTTTGACAACAATTGCCCAAGCCATCAATCCCATTGCCCATACCAAACATATTTAAATTCATTATCATTTTATATTAGAATGTGTAGCCTCGAATAAAATCAATATTATTTATTATAATTGCCAAGACCAAATAACAAATAACTTCACAAAATCACACTCAACAAGTTTGTTTTAATTCTTACGTGACAAGTTCATAATCTAACCTCAGATTATCAACGTGTTAGGAGGTGATAATATATCATCAAGTTGTGGGAAGGTAATAATAGAAAATGTATATTCTCATATGGAGCATCCACTTCTCTAGCAATCTCCATCTTAACCTATAGTTCATGCCAGCCTCTTCAATCCCCACCATTGTTCTCTATTCTTATAAAGCATTGTATGATTATCTACATATTCTCCTTATATATATAAAGCTATTCACTATAACTAGTATGTTGTATTAAATACACAATAGAATAAAATACCTCCATCCTATTCTCTATTCTATTTCTTTATCTACTACTTTGCCTAACAAAAATATAATGGGGGTGTTTTGTTCAATAGCTGTTTGTCTTGAAGATGAGTCACACTAGAATTTAAAGTGAGTTCTCTAGATGAATACTTTTTTATAAGTCCATTAAGGAAAAAATTAGTCGATTAATGAGTGGGCAACTTATGAATCTCTCAATGTAAGTTCAATATCTTAATAATGAAGATTAAATTAGGTTTAACTCTTAGAAGACTTGTTGGTAATAAAATAAACTGCCAATTTCAAAGCTTTCAACAAGCTACAAGGTTACAAATTTTGAGTTGCATGTAATTTAAGCTAGCTCAACATTCAATGACAGCTTAGACCCAACTTAGTAACACACCATACTTTAATTAGCCTAATTCAAGTGAATATAACATACAATGATCAAATTTAACAAACTCTTATGCATAAAATTTTATAGAAAGATTAAGCATTTTATTTAGCAGAAGATTCGACTAATTTTTTATACTTATAGTAAAGGAATTTATTTTTATGTTCAATAAAATTTTGAAGGTGCAAAACATACGTGATACTCAGGCTTCGTTTCAAACGACTTTCTTGTTGTTTTTTAAAACAGTTTTTTAACACACAATTTTTTTGAAACTGTGATAAAAATAAATCAAAAACTATCCCAAACAAAAAGCTTTAACCCAATGAAGCCCAAGAAAGTAAGAAACAATGTAGGCCATTTTAATACTAGTGCTAGCTAGCGCCAATTCAAACACAAATTATTTTGTACGGATAATGGACGGTTCAGTATCCGAAGATCAACCAAAATGCGCCACGTCACCCGATACACAACAGTACACAGCACCAGTACCAAGCAAAAAAAATGACATGGCTTATTTTAATTGATCTCAGAACACCGTCCGGTGTCCACATAGACTAATTTTTCCATTTCAATAGGAAAAAAAAAAAGACTAGATTTTTTATCTCATATGCTTTAAACTTAATACTTAATAAGCATATAAAAAAATTATATTGTATTAATTTTAAAAATAAATATAATTATTTTTATATAAAATTTAATATAATTTATATCAAACAAACCCAATTCTTTCTCACTTCAACACCATAGCTATATACTGTTGCAGCATAGAGGTACATTAAAATAATTATTTTAATCAATCGACCTAAATTCGTAAGGCATTATAAGTACTACATATGTTGATAAGTCTAAATACTTACAATCTAATGAAAATGCTAATACGTTTACATATACTAACCATCCTAATGCTCATAGATATCATATACAGCAGTTTAAAACTTGGTTTTGCATTTAACCATTCAAATAATTGGGTCAATTTCTTAAACAAAACCCCCAAAAAAAACAGCTAAGTTGATACCAATAAATACAAGATCTAATTCTACCAAACCAAAAGCGAAAAATAACTAAGGACTTTTGGTATAGGTGATTTTTTATAAAAATAATGGTAAAAGTATTGTAGATAAAATATTTTTTTTTAAGTTAATGTAAAAAATAACTTTTCAGTATATAAATTTCAAGAAAATAATTTAAAAAAATTATAATTATAATCTGAGAAAAAAAAAAATTTATCCAGATAAATGCTAAAGATCATCACTAGCATTCTAAGAAATAAACAGTAGTTATTTGGCTTCAAGATAATTTTCAAAAATTAAAATTTTTGAACTAGAAAGTTGCTTTAAGAAAAATTAAAAAAAAAAAATCATCCCAAATGAAGCCTTGATCTTCTCCCATGGCTACAAGCCAAATATCACTGTGACAGCCAACAAAGAGTAACAATCTAAGGAAGAGCAAATAAAAACGAACAAGAATTAAGTTTTACACATACGGGAACCAATAAAACATCAAATTCGACAGTAAAAGAGATATGCAGACACGCTCTCTCATGTTTCGTTTAGAAGTTTGGACAAAAACATGACATAGCTGATCACAAAGTTTCAGAGTCTAGATTTAAAATATCAAATTCCAGGTTTAAAGATGATCGCTTGAGAATAACTAACCTTTACTTCTTGGTCTTTTTGGGAGCAGACCTGCACAGAAAATGCAGTGTTTGATGCTTTTGAATGTTTTCACATGATTTCAAGATAGTAATATTGCAATGGATTAAGGACACTTACTCGGCGGGTTGCGATGGTGCTGGAGCTGGAGCTGGTGCTTTTACTTTCTCTCCAGGGCCCTGTTTTAATTGAAGCGATGAAACGAGAAAAAGATGAATGCAAAGCCTCAAGTTTTACTTATGAATATCAAATTGTCAACATGTAGAATGAGGAAAAGCCGCAGAGTGAGACAGATAAATCTATTAAATTTAAATGCTTTGACATAAGGGCATGGGGGTTGGGCGTGAGTAGTCAGCCACCAGGAAATCATCAGTGCAAAGGCGTCTAGATTTTTCTAGCAAACATTGTTTACATGGCGCATAAACAAGAGGCAAGGAGCGCCACATTTAAGTAACCTACAACAACAACATCAAGCCTTTATTTCACTGTGTGGTCAGCTACATGAATCATTTTTCTTCATTGTGTCTTGTTAAGAGTTAAATTCTATTTTAATCTAATTAAAAAGTGTCATTTTTAATATTTGCTAACCAAGACTTTTTAGGTCTACCTCATACATCTACTTTCCTAACCGGGTTATCGGAAGACCACTATTTTATATGACCAAACCATAGGCGACTCTCCCTAATCTTATCTTCTACTGGAGCTACTCCAACCTTTTCACATACATGCTCATTTCCTATCTTGTCTCTAAGAATAAAGCCACTCATCCACCTGAGCATCCTCATCACTGCAACACTTAACTTAATATTCTGCTTCTCTTTTAATGGCTAACATTGCACCATAAAGCATTGCAGGCCTAACCACCTTCTTATAGAATTTTCTCTTAAGTTTGAGGGGACCTTTTCTACCACACAGCAAGCCCAATGCATTCCTCCACTTCAACCATCCAACTTGAATTCTACTAATAATATCCTCATCTATTTCACAATCACTCTGAACAATATACCCAAGATATCGAAAATGTATACTTTTATTAATGACTTGATCACCCAAAGTCACAATCCCTCCATAAGATTTATTATTACTAAAATTACACTCCATATATTCATTTTTAGATCTACTCAAATGAAAGTTTTTAGACTCTATAAGGTTAACCTCCATAATTCAAGTTTACCTTCAACTCCCCCTCTAGTCTTATCAACAAGAAGAATATTATCAACAAAAAACATACACCAAGGTACAACCATTTGCAAATGTCTAGTAAGAACATCCATGACTAAAACAAAAAGATATGGGCTTAAGGATGGTCCTTGATGTAATCCAACTGAGATAGGAAAATACTTGGTTAAACCACTTTATGTTTGAACACAAGTAACATCTCCTGCATGCATATCTTTAATTACTTGAATATAAGCATTATTAACCATTTTCTTTTCTAGAACTCTCCATAGTACTTTTCTTAGAACTTTATCATATGCTTTCTCTAAATCAATAAATATCATATGTAGATTTTAACTTTAATGAAAATGGGAGCAAATTTAATGACACAACAAAAGTAATGATAGAAAAAAAAAACAAGCACCGCCCTTGATGACTTCAAGATTTAGATGATTCAGCAAATATTGACTGCGTCCACGGAAGAAGATATTGGATTTGACATAGAAGCAACAACTAACATACAAAATGCTCATCAGCCTTTCCAAAAACTCAAGTACACTCTCTCAATCAAAACTAAAAAAAAACTCCAAACCTCTCAAACAAATAAGAAAGACAACTTAATAGAATTAATAGCTAAAGATGATTAAACAATACAAGAAAATTATCTGCATTGTGAGTTTTTCAAAGGGGTACTTTTATACCTACTATAGATTCAACAGCAGAAAAAACTTGCAGCACAGAAATACAACAACGATCACAGCGTAAGTTGGGTTGTGGCTCAAGTCTCAAAGGAGACGATTGTGTCGCAACCAAGGCTATAATGCATGTTTTGATATATCAATTACAATTGCAATGCAACGTCAATATTTAAGGAAAAATCAATGGCACAAATAAGTTTGCAACATATGTCATAAAAGAAATATCTGTGACGCAAATAAAGTTATAATGCAACCCTAGAAGAAAACGATTCCAATGAAAGTGCATTTGTGACATATCTTTGAATGTTACAATAAATATAGTGTAAGTGAGGCTATTATAAATAAACGAGTTCAAATGTAAATTTTTAAGGAGATAACTGTTGTGCAATTGAGATTAAAGTGCAAGCAAGACTGACACTAAAGCCCTGAAGGAAACAATTGCAATGCAAGAGAGTTTATGGTACAAATCAATACAATGAAAATAATAGCATAAGTGGGTTATTGATGCAGCCTAAGGCCCTGATACCAAATTACTGCAACCTAAGGCTCTAATACCAAATTGATATAATGTAAATATCTGATATCAAATTGATGCAACCTAAATTCTTAAACCAAGTAGGAAAACACTAGGAATGCAAATTAAGAAGTTGTTTTTAGGGTTTATTATCAAGTGTTATCCTTTTTACCTACCCATTTATTTATCCTCAACAATACAATCAAACAATATTCTCTAAAAAGAATCCAATTCATTGGTTTTGTGCTTGACTATACTCTCTTGATTTCCTCATCTCTGTTTTGTGTCGTTTCTACTTTGTTTTATATTAACTTTGTCATATATTTTAAATTCAACCTAATTGGATTTTGTCATCCTCAACCTCAAGTGCGATCATGCATTGATTGTACCTAGTCCTTATCTGAATAATTCTTTGAAAAAAATGTATGCCATCCTAAAGGATTTGTCATTATAGTTGCCATTTTTTGGAGTTATAACAAGTACAATGCCAATTATAATTCAAGTATGTTGTTTTAGTTTAAAAATAATAGTAGCATAGGTTATTGCCCACCTGTGGGCAATCTTAGTGATGTTGGATTAGGGGTGCAAGTGAGCCGAGCCGGCTTGCTAACGAGCTCACGAGTTGAGCTTATCGAGTTTGAGCTTTTCGGTACAGCTGAGCTCGAGCTTTCTAGACGAGCTAGAGCTTGATTTTTATATAGCAAGTCGAGTTAGAGCTCAATATGAGCTCAAACTCTAAGATTTTGATCATTCTGAAAATACCATCATGAGGTTTGACTTGTTAAGACCAATCTATTAACTCTAAGATTGCATGAGTAGGCTCAAAAAATGTTCAACGAATTGAACTAAAGAGAATTGGCCCAACTCTTGTCGTCCTTCTTTCTCATGCGCAGGCAAGCACCATGCTTGATCCGATGACCATCAGACCTGAGAGTAGCAAATCTACATTGTCCCAACATACTAGCACACAATTAGTAATTTATATTTCATCTTATAGTTTTTTTGACTTTTTGGCACCATTACTTCTTTATGCTTCTTTTTTTAAGATATGGTTTGTGATGCATGATTGCTTTTAAAGAGATGAATATTTTCATACAAAATAGTGAGATGTCACTGTGTTTTTTTGGCATCATCAAATTTGAGCAATGAATCTTTTCAAAATTATTCCTTTTAATGTAATTATTACAATTTTGATGTGTCGCATCCTTTTGAATCGCAACATCACCATTTACAAGATATTATATTTGGTTTGCAAAATTAAAATGTTGATGGCAATGGCAGACCATTGCTGGCTGCTTGGGTTAACCCTGATCTTGGCAAGCTAGTTTGGTCAGCCTAAGGGATATATTGTTTGGCCATATTTTGTTCATTGTTTGACATGTTTTGTATTATTTGTTGTTGACAGCTATGGTGGATATTTTTTATTATCATTTATCAGTGTAAATTTGAGTGTAGGGATTGAATCAGCGATTAATCTGTTTTCGTTGTAGCGAGGTTTCAATAAACTTTCATTATTTATTATTTCTTATTCTAAGAATAGCAACCTCCATGCTTGACTTCCTTGCCTAACGGTGCTACGGGTCCTCTACGCTAGCTTTTTGATTTACCATAGCAAGCAAGTAAAAAAAAAATAGGGAAAGGAGTCTTGAATGAAAGAAGCGTCCGAATAGAATAATATACTGATCAATAACCGTTCTCTTCCAAATGGAAAGTATGTGGTGCCTTCCGCCTACAACCCTTTTGTGCCAAACGAAAGAAATTTGGGAAGGAATAGCACAACCAGAGTTGGGTTTTAGGCTAAGCCCTTGGCCCCAATGGTCTAAGACTGACATCTTACGATGATAAATTGGGCGACCCGGCAACAGATGCTTCTCAAATTGATGGCACACCCTAAGAGAGTGAGGACATACCCAGTATGAGACCTCCTCTTGGCAAGGCTCATTGGGAAGTCATGATTGTAAGCTAAAAGTGTCGACTTGATTCAATCAAATCTAAGTCAGTATCAAGATGCTAAAGGATAGATAAGATCATAAGATAGATGGCACCCAACACATAGTTCAGCTGTGTCTAGAGCAAGACCACAGTGTTCAGCTTCAGTACTTTCCCTAAAATTTTTCTAAAGAAAAAAAGATTCGTAGGGTACAATGCAACAATGAGAAGAAATCTGAATCAATGAGCATAAAGGATAATGAAACGAGTAATAGACACGAGTTCCATACTTTATGTATAATTGCGTAAGAGGTTATCTTAGAGATATGCTCGATCGAAAGGAGAGGGGAGCTTGCTATGAGGCTTTAAGTTGCCATACTCTAATCTAATAGAGTACCTCATACCTTCCCTTTAGAATTCTTTGAGTCTAAATGTCACTATGTATGATCTACTAAGCTTAGAGAAAGGAAGGATTTTGTCGTTATTATTTTCTATACTATACGAAATATAAATTTCTCATTCAAGTTCACGGTTTTAGAAGAAACCTTGTTTTTAGTTAACCTTTGGCATAGAATAATATGCGATTTGAATATGTTGACTAGCGTACTTCACAGGTGACCAAGGCAGCTAAAGATATTGAGTCTCTTCAAAGGAGATGCCGGTAGGATAAGGTATTCTGATTGGGAACCAATATACTAGTTATTAAAACCTACGACATATAAAGCTTAGTTCTAGCTATGTATCTTTCCATAAAAGAAAAAAAGAAGATGCTAATATGATCTTTGTAGCCATGAAAGTGATCTTAGGTGCTATCAGTGAACGTACTTTATCACCAGTAAGTGGACTTTTTTAGAAGAATTTTGTCCCAAAATTCCCTATT